AGGAAGGAAGGAAGGAAGGAAGGAAGGAAGGAAGGAAGGAAGGAAGATGTATATTCTGCTGTTATGTGGGGGAGTGTTTTGTATATGTCTGTTAGGTCCAGTTGGTCTATACTGTTGTACAAGTCCTCTATTTCCTTACTGATGCTCTGTATGTTCTATCCATCGTTGAAAGTAGGGTATTAAAGTCTCCTACTATTATTTTAGAACTATTTCTCTCTTCAATTTTGTCAGTGTTTGCTCTATGTATTTTAGACCTCTGATGTGTGTTGAATATATTTTTATAACTTTATATCTTCCTGTTCATTTTGTCATTTATTGTGTGTGTGTGTTAGCCTTTTTTGTCCTTCATTTCCTCCATACTACCTTTCCTTGTGTTTAAGTTGACTTTTTAAGTGACACACTTTGATTCCCTCTCATTTCCTTTTGTGTATAATCTATAGATATTTTCTTTGAGATTACCATAGGGGTTGCATGAAACATTCTAAAGGTATTTTAAATTGACACTATGTTTTATTATCTGTATTGCACCCTCCCAAATATTCATATGTTGATATCTTAGCCCCCTGTACCTCAAATGTGACTATATTTCAATATAGAGCTCTAAAGAAGTAGTTAAGGTAAAGTAAGGTGATATAGATGGTTCTTAACCTATTATGACTGGTGTCCTTATGAGAAGAGATTATTAGGAAACAGACACACAGTGGAAAGACTATGTGAGGAAAGAGGGAGAGGCCAAGGAGAGTGGATTCTGAAGAAATTAACCTTGCCAACACCTTTATCTCAGACAATGAGAAAAAAACATATTTTGTTTAAGACACCCAGTCTATGGTACTTTGTTTTGACATCCCTAGAAAACTACTACAACATCTTAAATATAGTTATATACAAAAATTCTACTACTTTACAGCCCCATCCCCTAATTCTCGGTTATTGATCTTAAAAATATCATAAAAACAAATGAAATATTGCCATCTACAACAACATGGATGTACCTAGAGGGTATTTTGCTGAGTGAAATAAGTCAGAAAAAAGCAAATACCATAAGATTTCACTTACGTGTGGAATCTAAAAAAAACAACAACAAAATAAACAAGCAGAACAGAAACAGACTCATAGAGAACATTTTGACAGTTGCTGGATGGGAGGGGTGTTGGGGATGGGTGAAAAAAATAAAGGGATTAAGAAATACAAATTAATAGTTATAGAACTGGCATGGGGATGTAAAGTACAGCATAGGGAATATATATAGTCAATAAGAGTGTAATAACTATGTATGGTATGAGATGGGTATTAGATTTATTGAGGTGATCACTTCATAAATTATATAAATATCTAATCATTAGGTTGTAAACCTGAAACTAATATAATATTGTACATCAACTGTAATTAAAAAATAAAAAGTTATTTTTAAAAAAGAAAGAAAGCTGATTAGTTGTTGCCAGAGGCTGTGGAAAGGAGAAATAGAGGGAGTGACTGCTTAATGGGTATGGGTTTTCTTTGGAGATAATGCAGACATTTTAGAACTAGATAGAGGTGGTGGTTACACAATATTGTGGATGTACTAAATGCCACTGAGTTGTGTACTTTAAAATGGCTAACTAGATTTGTTCATTGAATGATATCTCAGGGTTTGCTGCAGCAACAGAGGGCAAGCTCAAATGCTCAAGAATTTTTTAATCCTGTACTAGAATCATGTTTGCTAATATCGCATTGTACAAAGCAAGCCGCTTGAGCAGCTTAGATTCCAGAGGTGAGAAAATAGACTCCATGTCTTTATGAAAGGAACTCGAAGGTCACTTTTTAGAGAGGCATGTATATAGGGATATGAGGAAATGCTGTGGCCATTTTTTAAAAAACCACCCACCACAGTAAAATGGTTGCTCCCAAAATAAATATTGTAATTGCAATATTTACAATATATAAATATTGTAATTTAAAAAAATATCACCTTGCCCGGCCAGTGTGGCTCAGTGGTTGAGCATCGACCTATGATCCAGGAGACTGCGGTTCAATTCCCAGTCAGGGCACATGCCCAGGTTGCAGGCTCGATCCCCAGTAGGGGGCTTGCAGGAGGCAGCTGATCAATGACTCTTTCCTCATTGATGTTTCTTCTCTCTCTCCCTCTCCCTTTCTCTCTCTGAAATCAATAAAGATACATTTTAAAAATATATCATCTTTATGTATTGTGTACCCATTAATATAGATTTATAGTTATCTTTATACTTTTATCTTTTAAATCATACAAATTGAAAGTAGAGCTAATAACCAAAATTACAATAATAGAAATTTTTATATTTTTCTTTTTGTTTACTTTGCCGGAGAACTTTATATTTTTGTATAGCTTTAAGCTACTGTCTTGTGTCCTTTTGTTTCAAATTAAAGGACTTCATTTATTATCCTTCATAGGGCAGATGTAGTGGTAATTAACTCCTTCAGCTTTTTTTTTTTTTTTTTTT